TGCAAGGCATTCGAGAGGGAAGACGTAGGGGCTAGCGTCTTTCCGTCCCAAAGGGACGATGCAGACGAGGAGGAGTGTTGAAGCCCATGTGGCCGATGCTCCTGTAGCCCTGAAGGCTTGAAGCGGTGGAGCAGAGCTCCATGTGAACAGCAATTGCGCTAGATGTGCATGCCGATGACGTAGACAGCACTAGTCCAGAGGACAGTACATGTCGTTGCGTGTAAAACAATTCGAAGCTTGCCGTAAGCCCATGGTCGACGTTCCTCCCACTGGTCTGTAACTACAGCTGGTACACCGAAGAAGATTTCATGGCCGCAAGCGAACCCAACCCGAACGCTCATGATCTACCTGATGACCGAGCTCATGAGTATCAACAGACCCTAATATATAGTACCCTAAATAATAGGATCCCTACTATAAGGACCCCAAAATAAGGTACCCCAATTTTCTGAAACTCCCATATGCTCAAACTCACAGTAGCAGCGACATCTAGCATGGATCTCTCTTGATCTATGAACCAGAATTCTTTTTCTGCAGCATGCATGCAGCATGTAATAAAGTTTCTGTATATCCACGTTCATCTATGAATACTGACACTGTCCATGTATATGTTTCCTTACCTACGTGCATTCATCTATTCGCAGGCATCTTGCACATCGGGTTCCCATTCTTGCTAAGGAAAGCATCGAACCGACACGAGCAGCAGCACAGGGCTTCCCACACACAGGCCCAATGCAGGAATGCTCTCCAAAAATCAGCCCTCAACCCGACTCACCCCAAAAGCAGGCCCGTCCACTTCAAACACAGTAGGGTCGAAAGAGCCACGAAGCCCCTGGTTCAGTGTAGAAGCTTCATGGAGCAGCTATGACGGCAAATCCTCCGTGGCATTACTTTGCTAACTGTTTCAGTCCCTGTAAATCAGCCCTGAGAAGCCCTGGAGATGGGATCTCTGGCCTTCGGCCACGGCCCATCCTTGGTAGGGAAAGCCTCGACTTCACTGAGAGCAGGATCACGCGACGATTCTGGGTCTAGGAGTCCTTCTTGAAGGTTTAGGACTCAGGGTCTGGGAGGTTTTGCGCAAAATGCAAGATGCACAGCCTCGAGGATTTAGGATTCAGGTTTCGCGCTTCTTGTGGATGTAGGAGTGACCTGCTGCACAGATCCACCAGGATGGGGAGCTGCCCTAAACCCTTTTTTGGATATCACTTCGAAGGTCTTGGAGGGCTCCAAACCTGCAAAACTTTCGGGAGAAGCACGCAACATGGTGGCCAAATATTATGAAATCTGACGAGACGTCGCAAGCGAGGTACAGCTTCACGTCCAAGGCTTATGCCCAAAGCTCCCTAGCAAGCACGCCGCAACTTTATACTGAGTAAGAATAAAGTAGAGCCCGGAGCAACTTCAGTCCACAAACATAGAATCCGGCCTTCCGGGGGGAATCGTCTTTGGGACACCTGTCAGAAAGATCCAAGCTTGACAGTTTTAATCTCACTGACTTTGGGGGGATACAACATAATTATACAAAGGCTAGACTCTATTCTATACCACACTGCGCTAGTTAGCACTCGCAATCCATGGGCTGTGCGATGTGTTGGTACCACTGGTTTCTCTAACAAAATGTATTTGTTTCTCTGCAAAACCGTTGCCGTAACACTTGTTTCGACAATCAAGAGCTTGTCGAAATAATTGCCGCAAGTACCTAATTATTGCCGCCGCGCTAGTTCAGTACCGGGGGTTCGACGGGTATCTAATGCCCCGCCTATACGACTTTGCACTCTAAGCTTCTCCGAATCCTCCCCTCTCTTCGACAGGTGGGGCCCTGCGGCTCGGGGAGACGCGCTTGAGATGAAGAGAACCCAACGCAGCTCCAAATAGCAAAAACCGATAATAAAATCCACTCTAGACCCATTGTAGAACCTTCCAAACCTTATGAACCCCCCTGAGAAACACACCTTCTTAAAATGTAACATCTTACTACAAGGAGCCCCCCCCGCTCCCTCTCAGGCCTCTTCTCCTCTTCCTCATCCAACTCTACGATCTTCTCCTCGAGCACACGGATCTGCGCATGAGTCTTGTCGAGCTCACGACGCTCCTGTGCAGGCGGAAGGTGGCCTCGTGGACACGACCGTCCGATATAACCAGTCTAACTCTGCAATCAATAGCCAAGCTGCAACCAAATCTGAGCCGCATGGTGCGTGAGTCATCGGAACCCATGAAAGTCTTGCTGCATCGTCCACGTAAATACTGTGTTTCAAGGCCGCTGCAGGCTGCACGCCCTGTTGTCCTCGAAGGTGTTGAACTGCTCCGAAGTCTTGTGTCCAGAGTCCCTGAAGTCCAGTCATGCTCTGGGCGATCCGAAATCTGCCATGGCAACAGCTGGATGGACTCTCGAACCCTACAACACTTGTGCAAGAATCCGCTCAAGCCCAATATCACCGTACATACTCCTAGTTGACTCCCTGTTGTCTCCAGGCGCCCGACCGCTTCTCAGTCGCAGGCGGGCTTGTCCCCTCGACCTCAGCTGCTTTGCGGAGTTGGTCCCGCCATTGCAAAGGTTTAGGGTTCAGGGGTCCAGGGTCGTTTCAACTGAAGGATTTGGGTCTAGGACTTGGTGATGAAAGGTCAAAGCCTTCCCGAAACTTAAGTTCAGGTTTGGGGGTGAGGAGTTTCGAGCTTGGGTTTTAGGGTGTACGGCGGACTGGGAACACGGAGCGCGAATACATCAACACCTCCTTGCAATCTCAAGCTCGCTTTGAGTGCCCGACCGCTTCCTCTGGATTGATAGGAGCAGTGTCCCCTCTCAGCCTTGGCAATGGCAAAAGATCTTTCACTGCCTTGCTGCTTTGCTTCAGTTGCCCCAAAGCCACAGGTTTTGACTTGTTCTAGGCCCCACATCAGCATGCTAAGCGTGAAACCAAGACCAGTAAAAAGAGACCTCAGACAAAGCTGACGACCAAACCGGAAATCTGGCCTGGGGCCCGGGGGCCCGGGGGCCTGTTCCTTTCGTTCTCGAAGCCTCTCCACAAAGCCTGCGCTCTTTTGGTGGACGCTGGTTTGCTGGTCGCCCCCTGCGTCGTTCCAAAACCGCAGCGCGGGCGCTACACATCTGGGAGCCAGCAATCGGGGGCATCTTCATTCTCATCAGGCTGCTCTTTTTCTTATTCTTCCTGTCGAGCTTGCTGATTCCTGCGATTCTGTTTCTGAGGGAAGCTGCCATATTCTCATGATTGATGACTACTCCTGATCATCATGAAGCTGCTGCTACTGATATCTGGGGCTTAAGCTGGGGCTTTCAGAACATCAAGCTGAACTGACTTTCGGGGTTCTAAGAGTCAGGATCCCAACATTGAAGGACCGATTTTTGTTTGGGGTCCCCCATATTCTGAAACCCCCATATAGCTTCGAGGCTGGACGGCAATGACGGTTTCAGCTGTCTCCGAGGCAAAAACCAATGAACGACCCCGCTCTCTTTGTCTCTCCCTTTCTCGAGACTGGGGATCCCAAGGCCCATGCACACTTCGAAGGCTCGAGCAAGAAGATGTTAAGTTTAGGTTTTCATTTTATGAGGGCCTCTTGATGAGAACAACATGCGTAGCTCTGAGGATGCCAAGACTTTTGGTGAATTGTCTAGCTAGGTCTGCTGGTGCATGGGAGAAGTGTCCCCAAGAGCTTCAACATATGCGCCACCTCTTAGGAACACTCAAAGATGGCTAGTCCGAGCATGAAAGATAATCTCTCGGAGGGGCCCTGCTGTGCCATCTCTTCAGCTGTCGATGGGTTTCTACTGCTACTGCTACTGCTGCTACGACGACAACTAGCGCAAGCCTGTGAACAGTGTTGACGGCACTGCTACATCACTAGTACCGACTAGTACCGGAGGTATTGTGGCAAGAGTAGGATGCCCAGTTTCCAGCAATTTTTGGCACTCTTTAGTCGTACCGGGCTACTCATAGTCAGATCGCGATTGTGCACGAGTAGCATTCACCGATGTCTTTCCAGAACAGAGCCCTGAATACCTGTAGATGCTCGTCACAATCGTGATATCTTACACCTCTTGATCGCCCAACGTCGTAGTCGCCATAAGCACTGCCGTTAGTTCGTACAAGCAGCAGGTACCGAAGAAGCTTTGCGAAGAGTGGTAGCCAGTGCATGAGTGTGGAGTTCACTGCAGGGCCCCTTGGAGTGACCTCCCTCATGCAGCTCCCGTCTTCAGTGCCTGCAGATGTGGCGGAAAAACCACAAAAAGGCACAGAGTTCGGATGGTTTTTGCGGACTCGCTCTGTTGAAAGGAACTAGTTCTACCAGACTTGGGGTTTCAGGTACAATGCTGCCGTGCAGTGCCTGGGCATCCTAAACCACAAACCCCGACACCAAATCATCCCGCCCGAGCCGTCGAACATGACGTCACGTCACGAAACCAACGAAAACAATGCTTGTTTTCGGGCCTCTTTCCGGAACCTTCTGCCCCTTTCCCAACGTTGCCATCAAGTGGAACAGTTCCAAGCAAGGGCCAGTCACCCGAGGCGGCTCTGGACCCTCCCAAGCACCCTTCTTGGCTTGTGAGCTTGGGTTGTGGTCGCAGTCTTCAGGCATTCAGACTTTTAGGGTTTCGGCAAGCTACAATTGTCTTAGGATGAGCGTGAATGAGGTTGTCCTTTCCGGATTCGGCCTTCTTGATCACACGAAGCCAGGCAACAAAAAAACAAAACAAAAGCGACTCCCACATCAACATCTGCGAGTCTACGAAGCGGACCGAAGACGTCTCCGAAGAACGCGGCCTGCTTCTGTGTGTCAGACAAGGTCACGGGAACCTCCAAAACTCGACCCACGACCTTTCGCGGGGAACGGGGTGTTTTAGGGTGTGTTGAAGGTTCAGAGCTTCAGGCTGTTGGGTAAACCCCTCACACTTTCACAGTTTCTGGTGCTACGAGTTGGGGCGATCTGCTGGGGCGCGGCTGTTGGCTTCAGAGCTTCGCAAAATTGAACCCCGGCTCCCCTCCTAAGGATGGTGCCAGGTTCTCTGGTCCTTACCGGGTGGGAGCCTCCCTCCCTCCCTCCCTGAACGCTCCGAACTTCATAGGCCTTTAAAGGGGGAAGCCCTCAGGTCAAAAGTGCTGAGGCTGCGGCGTATTCGATCGTTTTGGCCTTGTTGTTGGCGTAGTCCTGATGGGACTTCCCATTACTACAGATGTAGCATGGCCGCGCTTCTCTTGTAGGTCGAGGCTCTAGCCGCTAGCCTCTACCAGCCTGAATCCTAAAGCAAGGCTCTGTTTTGTGTGATGGTGCATCGAGTGGTAGCATCACAACGACCTTTCGAGGCTGAACCGTGCGCCAAAGGCTAGCATGCCCTAAACCCGACATCTTCTCCGCCCGGCATGAGCCGTGGGCTCTACGACCCTCGGAAATGTCCACGGTTCTCTTGCTTTCCTAGAACCCAACATACAACATCGAAGAGCAGACTCTGTTGTTGTTCTAATACGTGAGCCCCTAAATAGGGAGCCGCATGTTTTCTGAAGCCTCCAATATCCCAGCTCTGACCTTGTGGACACTGTCGATCTCACTCTGAGTGCTGACCTGCGGCGGAGGGAAGGCTAAGGAAAAGGATGCGACAAAAAGCAGAGCCTCAGGCTCTGGGGAGGGCATGAGCTGTCATGCTGAAGTACGACCGTGACGAGTACATGTTCTCCTGGCGATGATGATGATGATGATGATCATGCTCAAGATGACGACAATCATCTTGGTAGTGGTTGTGCTAGTTTTGGTGGTGGTGGCGACGACGAAGGCGACGGTGATGGTATTGATTTCACACGGACCATGACGGTCGCCACAGCGGTGACCGTGACTCCATGACGTTGATGAGGGCGCACTCCTGATCTGGGCTCCGGGGCATTCAGGGCTTCAGCCCCCGACATTGCGGGACTGGCCAAGTCCCAAGCCCCAGTCTTAAAGTCTTCAGAACCCCCAAGCCCTGAAACCCTCTAACCGAACCTCAGCCCCCCCGCCCCCCCCCCTTGAATATGCTGTCCCCAATTCTGGGAATGGTCTCTGAGAAAACCGAAGGAGCCCTACAGTTCCTCCTCCCCTCCCCTATGAAAAGGGCCTGTAAAGTCTCTGCGGGGTTTGCACCGGCCTTGGCGCCTCAAGGAAGAGATGAAAAGAGGGTCTCTCTGGGGGCTGGCTGTTTTGGGTGGCTTTAGGCTTAAGGTGCAAGGCGTTTAGGGCGCAGGGATTTTCAGCTCTAAACGGGGCCTCCAGGGCTACGGGATGTTTTTGCTTGAGGCTTTGAGCTTTCGGGTTTAGGGATTGGCTCTGTGACTGGTGCTACCGGGTTCTGCCTGTGATACGGGGAGGTACGGGGGTAAGATTCCTCCAAGACTCCTCGCTGCACAGCTTTGGGTTCTGGGGCTTGCTGTTCCAGGCTTTAGGACTGGGCTTTGGATTTCGGGTCTTGAGAGTCTTGGGACTTGTATAAACCTCAAAGGCGCACAGTATATCCGCAAGGACAGACCATGGATATGGATCCTGAATAAGTAGAAAAGGGCTTGGGAATATCCGAATTGCAGCTTCCTACAAGGTTTAGAGGAGGAGAGTACTACTGCTGCTACTTCTTCAGCCCTCTTCATTATGCTAAGCGGCCCATCTCTTTTTGGAATCTGGCTTCCTCCTTCTCGCGGAAATCCTGGAACACATGTCAGGGGTTTAGGCTTCGGTCCCTGAACCCTCGACATAGACCCTAAGGGTTTAGGGTCTAAGTTTACAGAAGGGGCTGTCGCGGGACCTGTTTTTTTTTGAAAACCCCCCTGCACACCGTTCTACCGGATATCTTATCTACACAATTTGGCTTATGTGGGTGGTTGTCAAAATTATGGTCCCTTTTGGGGTACCCTAAATCTTAGGTGCCGCATTATTATAAGGACCCAAAAAGGGGACCCTAATTTTTGACAACCGTTCACGTGTCGGGTTTATGCGGGTCCAGGGCCTCTGACTTGGATCCTGATCCTTGGAAGGCTCTAAGAAGGCATGGCCGAAAGAAGCAAGTGCTCGAGAACCGTCCCGCGGGATCATGTCCAGAACTCAAAGCAAGGGGTGGGGGGGGGGGGGGGGGG